ATGCACTCATCTACACACAATAAAATATACAGGTGATATATTATAGAATTATACACCTGAAACCTATATACTTTAATTAACTAGTGCTACCCCCAACAAGGTCAATACAAATTTAATAAAAATTAAAATATCTACAATTAATTATGGGTTATATGTATTTCTAAAAAGAGGGAAAATTATGACAAAATCATTTTGGTAGTGAAGACAGTTTGTGTTCAAGAAATGATATCAAACAAATTATCTAAAATATGTGATAGAGCCCTGGCTGGCATGGCTCAGTTGGTTGGAGGGTCATTCGGTAACACAAAGATTGTAGGTTCAATCCCCAGTCTGAGCATGTACAGGACGCAACCAGTCGATGCTTCTCTCTTGCATCAGTTTCTCTCTCTCTTCCTCTCTCCTTTCCACTGTTTGTAAAAAGTAATAAAATAACATAAAATATAGGATATAGGCATATAAGAGGTAGAAGATAAGACCAAAAAGATAGATGGGACCAGTTTGTTTCGAGATACCATGCCAAGGCCTGTCTAAAACTGGCAAGAAACTGGGGGTAGGTGAAATATTTTGATCAAGAAAGTAATATATACATAATGGAATACTACACAGCAGAAATAAAGAAGGAATTCCTACCCTCCTCTACAGTGTTCTGGGGATTATGCTAAGTGAAATAAACCAGGTGGTGAAAGACAAACACCATATGATCTCACCTATAAGTGGAATCTAATCAACAAAAACAAACAAGCAAGCAAAATAGAACCAGAGACTTTGAAAGAAAGAACAAACTGGCAGTAGCCAGAGGGGAGGGGGGAGAAGGATGACAAGGGAACGAAGGGGAATGGTCGTCAAGGAACATGTATAAAAGACCCAGGGACAAAGCCAAAAGCGGGTAGGATTGAGAGGTGAGGGTGGGAGGGGCCGCGACAATGACTGGGTGAAAATGGAATGGAAACAACTGCACTTGAACATCAATAAAAAACAATAAAATAAACATGTTTTTCAATAGTCAACATTATTAACAAAAAGAAAGTGATATATACATAAAATTTTTCTTCTGTTTTTATTAAACCAAAAATTAAACTGGCATTTCTTGGAAGTTGGTTTAAAGAATGTGCAGACTGGAAGTAAGGAAAAGAAATATCAGACGGCTGCAGTCATGGAAATGAGATCAAAGGAGAGCCTCAAACCAGATAGTGGCAAAAAGTGGGGAATAGCATCGCTCTTGAGAGCAAGGGTTAATTAAGTAACAAGAGCTTTAGGTAGGGATCCCTGTTAGACACTTTAAATGAGAGATAATGATTTAGAGTAGAAAGAGATCATAGAGATAAACTGGTTCAAATGCTTTATAGTACAGATGGAAAAACCAAAACTCAGTTTAGGTTTGGAGGTCCAATTGCAGATACATATGTATAAGACATCAGCACATAGAGACAGTTAAAGCCCTGGATATGAATAAAATCATAGAGAAGAATTGTGCAGACAGAGAGTAAAAATAGAATGAAGGCAGGTCTTTTGCAAATATCTACATTTTTTTTTCAGGCAAAAGAGTAAGAAAACAGAGAAGAAAGTGAGCAAAGAGTGTTCAGTTGTAAGATAAGAAATAAATTGGCATTGTGACTTAGGAATATTGAGTGTTAATTATTGTTTATCATTAAGTACTGTCATATGTCAAAGTCTGAGTAAAGGTCATTGATTTTTATTTATTAATTCGTTCAGTTCTTTATTATTCAAAAGTATTTATTGGATTATTTGTAATATGTTCAGCCCTTCTGTAAATATTTAAGATATAATAATAAACAAAAGAAAAGATGTAATTCAGGTCTTTAAATAGCTTATAATTTTGTGGAAAAGAACCAATATTTATCAAATAATCTCACACAGGAGTGTTTGGAACTTCAGTCAGTACTAGGAATAAATGATCGGTGTTCTGTGGGCCCGGAGGGTCTTGGCTGTGTGTGTGAGGACTTGGGTGGTACCGGATGGAGACTGAAAAGAGGTCTTTCTTTGGGTTATGATCTTTTAACTGGGAGCTCAAGGATGAGTGGTTTGGAAGGAGATAGGATGGTAGCTTTAGAAATTATAATGAAAAATTTTAAAGTTTCTGTGTGTGTGTATGTATATGTTTGTAAAATTTACGTGAAAGAAACAGTCACAGGGGCCTTACTTATAAGGGCCTTTGAGCTATCAGATTTTGCATTTTTCTCCATGCCAGACAATTTTTAGCCCTGCTTGGGGAATTCATCACCTAATATATGTCTTCACATAGTTATTAGGTGGTGATAACTTGCCAGAGAATTTCACTTGGGGTTTGGTGCAAAGAGCAGAAAATTACTGCTTAATTACATCGCATGTCCAAGACCACAGAGTCAAGAGCTGGTGGAGCTGACTAAGTTTTGGATACTGACTTTCCCACTTACAAGGCTTCCTCTCTTTCATGAGCCTATAACAGCTGTTCACTGACAGATATTGTTCACTAACTAAAAGTCAATTTAATACTTTAGCTCCTTGTTGATCATTATTTTCTTCACTAGTGTAGCTCTCAATACCTGTCTTATTTGGAGCAGTTAAGTAGAAAAATAATAACTCTTATTGAGATAACCTGCTTCTGACCACATGTAATGTGTAAAATTCACATGCGTACTTTTTGCCTGTAGATCCATAGCTAATATGGATCTTTCAGGAAAAGTTCAACTCATTTACAGCAACAGATGTTTAACATGTCCCACACTCGATTAGGACTCTATTTAAAACAGCAGTTGACAAGGAATAGGATGAATGATCCCGAAGTCACAGGTGACAAACACTGTTTTTGAGTAACTGAGGCAAAGTCTCCTTTCAAATATGACAGGATTTCCTAAACAGCCAACATTTCACTCTGGGATATTTGGGGTGTCACTCTATAAAAAAGCCAATGTAAAAGCCATTTAAAAAAATTCTCTGAAATAACAGAAAGTGTTTTCTAATTAGGTATATAGAGAAATGTGTTCCTCATTGGAGAAATGATACAATATTAGAATATTTTTATAGGCAAAGGATCTGTAGATAGGATGTTGCCAAAGAAACCCCTGTCAAAAGACAACCCTAAAAATGGAAGGATGAGATGTAATAAATTCCTTTTTTGGGCTAGATCTCTGCAAAACTAAGAGTATTTTAAATGTCAAAGGAAACCCTTTAAATAAAACTTTGGAAGAGGATATAAGAAGGATAATGGTAATAAAACAAAGAAATATATGAGTAAATGAATAAAACCCAACAATTAAAAAAATCCAACAACTGCTAGCATTTCTCTGTTCATTTGGATTATTGTATATTAATTTTTTCAGAAATAAATCATACATTCACCTATAAAATTTGGAGTTTATACAACTATTAAATACAATTACAGCTACTTAATATATTTTTTATTTCTCTGATCTTATAAGCTGCAATAAATTTCTTTTAAAATTATATTTTATTGATTATGCTATTACAATTGTCCCATTTTCCCCACTTTATTCTTTTCTGCCCTGCACACCCCCTCCGACCTGTATCCCCCCCACCTTAGTTCATGTCCATGGGTCATACACATAAGTTATTTGGCTTCTACATTTCCCATACTATTCTTAATCTCCCCCTGTCTATTTAGTACCTACCAGTTATGCTGCTTATTCCCTGTACCTTCCCCCTCATTCTCACCCGCCCTCCCCACTGATAACCTTCCATGTGATGATCTCCATTTTTGTGATTCTCTTCCTGTTCTAGGTGTTTGCTCAGTGCATTTTTTTAAGGTTCGGTTGTTGATAGTTATGTATTTTTTATTTTGCTAAATTAACTGAAGAAGCTACAATGCACTAGCCCATACTACTGTGACTCTAATGTGTCTTATTTGACTATAATTTCCTGAGAGAAGTTTTTGAAAATACTAAATTAATTGAAGAATCTTATATACTCATACCTCTTGATTCCTAAAATTAAAAAGAGGAAAGTTACTTTTACACTGCATGGAGTTGAGCAAAGCAAAAATTTATTATTAGGGCAGTGAAAATGGTAATGCTTTATCTAATAAACTTAAGTCACTGATTATGATTCTCATACATTTATTGACTCTATAATTTTACATCCTAAATTTTTTTCTTTACATATCATTTCATTGTCGGAAGAATTTCTCATAAAAGTGTATGAAAAATAGAAAATAAGAAAAATATTTATTTCATGCCCAGCTTCTCCTGCCTAATTAATGGTTCAATGAAATGATGACTGTTTAGTAACATGTATAGAGAGCCACAAAATTAGTCCAAAAACTGGTGCAGGGAGCTGGAGAGCAGAAGGTCACAGAGAGTCTCAATTTTTTTTAATTAATTTTATTTAGTTATTTTTCAAGTACAGTTTTTTTGTCTATTTCTCCCATCCCAGCCTCCCCCTCCCCTTGCTCCCAACCTCCCTCCCATTTCCACCCCCCTTAGTTCTTGTCCCTGTGTGCTTCCTATTTGTTCCTCCAAATCCCTCCCCCTTTTTCCCCTTAACTTCCCTTCCCTCTCCCCTCTGGTCACTGCCCCCTTGTTCTCTATTTCAGTGTCTTTGTTGTTTTTTTTTTTCTGCTTGCTTGTTTGTTTTGTTGTTTAGCTTCCTGTTAAAGGTGAGATCATATGATATTTGTCTTTCAGCCCCTGGCCTATTTCACTCAGCATAATGCTTTCCAGTTCCACCCATGTTGTTGCAAAAGGTAGTAGCTCCTTCTTTCTCTCTGCTGCATAGAAGTCCATTGTGTATATGTACCACAATTTAGTCTCAGTTTTAAAATCCACCACAACTCATATGAACTGAAGACATTCCAACAACTGTACAATCCTTCAGGGGTGTCCAACCCCTGGCCCGCAAGCTGCATGTAGCCCAGCATGGCTATGAATGCAGCCCAACATAAAAACATAAATTTACATAAAGCATTGTGAGTTTTTTTGTGATTATGTGTTGCAATTGTATTTAATGTGTGGCCAAAACAACTCTTCTTTTTCCAGTGTGGTCCAGAGACACCAAAAATTTGGACAACCTTGCACAGGATTTATTTTAGAACCGAAATTATAAGAAAATGATTATTTAGAGGCCCCAGGGAAAGAGAGCAGCATAAGGATATCTTTAGTAATAAAGCATGAAGAACGATAATTAAGTTTTTATGAATACGGGATCAGGTAAAGATCTCACCTGAAATCTAAAAATCACCTTAGAGGGATAACCAGGCTGGGGAAGAGGGTAGAGAGGAGAAACACAATGCATGGCTGAGTGTACGTAGAGATGGTTGGGTGACTGTCAGCTTTGTAATTTCCTGACCCTCCAAAACTTCCCATTGATGACTTGGTTACTTCCAACTGCACCGAGTGGGAAAAGCAAACATTTCATTTTAGCATGTTAAACAAGGCTTAAAAATACTCAAGAGACCCGATAGGATACTTATCTCTATCATAAGAGACTCAACTGAAGTCCCGTTTGGTTTTTTTTGAGGTTGATTTTTGAATGAGATTGACTAGGATCCTGAATATTTGTGGGGCTGGCCCCATCAATGGGAAGATCTGATAGTACACATAGCAGCGGTGACTCATGTGTGACGCAATTTCCATCAGCTGCACATTATTGCGTAGCTCAGTTTATTACCTTCTTCAGTTTATTACCTGCCCGACTCACCATGGCCTGGACTGACATATGGGGCATCTCTGTGAGGCTAATATTCTTCCAGAAAATTTGCTAAAGAAAAAGGCACAAGGGGGTTTTATTGTTATAAAATATTGGCATTATGATTCAAAAGTCAAATCTCTAGCACAGACAGCTAAATGAAATTATTTGTCAAATACTAAGAATTCATAAAAAATACATGTTTATGGATACATAAATGATGGAGGTACTCAGCCCCTTTCATTAGATACCATGTAGCCATAGACTATTAAATTTAAACTTCAGAACTCTGGATGACATTCTGAGATTATATGACTGACTGTTAGTAATCTTACATATCCTCTCTTTGAAAAGGCTAGTTTCAAATTACTTATTGTAGCTGATGGTTAAGGTATTGGTCCCCACTTAAAGGTTTTTGCTATTTTTTTTCAGGCATTAAAACGATGAGTCAAAGAATAATTTTCAAAAGTTAAAATGTAAACATGACTATTGTAGAAGTTTTCATAAATGAAGTTAGCAGAACTGTATAGCTGGTTCAAAAGATATTTGAGGAACTGTGTATATACAGACATTTAAAAAGTAAAAAAGGTATTAAAATCATATTATTATTCTATAAGACATTCTAACTCCTATGTTTTATAGGTTAATATCACATGGACCAATAACACCATAACCCAAAGATTTTTCATTTCTGTTCAGAGAAAACATTTGCATCTGAGAAAAATCTACTATTTAATAACTAACTGGGTACATCTTGGACTCGAATCAGTAGTAAATTGCAAAATAATATTTCCTTAGAAATAAAATTATTGTTTGATGAATTTTAAAGTACTTTATGTCTTTAAACTATTGCCTGTCCTTTATTTAAAGTTTTGGTTGCTTAAAAATGTTTTGATATATAAGAAAGTGAAAATAAATAATAAAAAAAGAATTAACCAAATGCTGTTGTACATATACATTATTTCTCTGGAGTATCTGCTGGCCAAGGATGTGTTAGGGTGTGAAGTATGAGCTTATTACTACTGGTCAAAGAATCTCAGCTTTTCTTAAGGTTGTTGGGTTGGCAGTATCCAAGATACCATGGGAAATTTCAAGTTGACTGCCCCATTTATGTGGAGATCATACATACTATTATGAACTTGAATGAAAACCTGTAAATCACAGAATTAATAGAATCATTGAAAAATAACTCACATGCAAATTTATCTTTAATACTAACATGTAATGCTTTTTCCCCCAAATAACTTATTGTTGTCAACTTACATCAAAGTAGTTAGGGTAACTACAACTATTGTAGTAGTGTATAAATTTAGAAAGAACATTCCAGTATACTTCACTGCCTATTAATCAAATTTATATTCTATCTTGAGTGAAGAGACTAACAATAAAATAAGATAGATGGTGTAAAGTAAGTAGCATGTTGGATGATGATGAAGGAAGGATGAAATAAAGAAGACAAGTGTGTATAAGAATGCCTCGGACTCTACTTTTGGTATTTGACTGCTGATAGGTTTCAAGGCCCATCACAAGCCGTTCCTCCTATGCCACACATTCTAGCAAAAATTAATGTGAAACCTGAGTGTTGCTTTCTCTCCAGCGGGAAGTTAAAGCCGTGGGAGCCCCTGGCCATGCCTGTGTGCAAGAATGCTCACCCGAGCCTCACTCACTAACTGCCTGAACGAGACTCCTAGCCAGCTTCCTTTTCCTGCACTCTCATCCCATTTTGACCTGCCTGGCCCTCTAGCCTTGCTTTCCCCAGTTAACTTCCTTCTGTGTGTGGCATTATCAGTCTTAGCATCAGAAAAAATTGTGTGTGTGGAGGGAGGACCCAGACGCAAGGACGTCTGATCACACAAGGGAACAAGGAGTATTGTTACTGAGAGAAGGGCTACAGAAGACCTCACAGAAAATAAGCCATTTTAGTGAAAACCCAAAGGAAGTAGGGGCATGAGTCATGTGGATATTTTGGAGACTATCCCAGAAAAAGAGAATAGATTGTGCAAATTCCTGGAGGCAAGGGTGTGCTGTGAGTTTAAGAAACAGCCAGAAGGCCAATGAGGCAAGAATTGGGAGAGTAGGAGTGGATATGACAAGAACAATAATTGTTGAAAGAGCAGAGAAGGTAAGACTTAATGAGCTGTCTTTAGGATACTTTGGCTTTTTCTAAAGTAATATGCAAAGGTCCTAGACAAACTTTCAGCAACCTTATGGTTATATGGAATGAGAATATTTGAACTTTAAACATAGGAAAATTAGTCTGTTGCTGTTTTCAAAATGGACAAAGGTTGTGTGTACAGATGATATGAAACACTTGGGAGGCAAGAAATGGTAACAAGATTAGACCTCTGTGGTAGCAGTGAAAGTCGTAAGAGGGGGTCAGATTCTCTCCTGAAGGTGAACCAACAGGATGTCCTCAGTTTGAGTGCAGGGTGAGAACAAGACTACAAAGTCTGTGGCCTACACAGATGGACACATGGGTTGGGCATCTTACATCTTATAGTAGGGAAGAGTAGTGAGGTCAAACACAGTAACAGATGAAAGTGATATTTGTTATTTCATAGGGGTGAACTTTAGGGACGGTGATCAATGTGGGAGGTATTGTAATGTGTGCACAAAGAAAGGAAAACATTTCAGGTTTGATTTTTTAAGCTAAGTGAGAGGAATATGGAAAAGAGGAAGCCCCTCCAGGTTCAGAAAGGGGACTGCACTTCCAGGTATTACAATAACATTCTATGGCAGGGGTATCAAACTCATTTTCACTGGGGGCCACATCAGGTTGGTGGTTGCCTTCAAAGGGCCAAATGTAGAGCTCCTGGCCCCTAGTTAAGGAGTAGTTACACTGATACAGTCCTAAAGTTACATTTGGCCCTTTGAAGGAAACTGCGAGCCTGATGTGGCCCCTGGTGAAAATGAGTTTGACACCCCTGCTCAATGGCCTAATTCCCAGTGACAGTCATTTCATTCACTCCTGGCTCCAAAGAAGTTTGTACATGAAACAATACATCTGGTTCCTTCCCTTTAATTCACCAACTTCTAAATTAAAAGCGAAGATTTCTGGTGACCAGTCAACTTTCAGTAAACATTCTTTTCAGCTGAGCTGTTGATTAAGTTAATTTGTAAAAAGGCTTGAGGACATTTTAAATACCTGAGTTATTTGTAATGAAACATCAGAGCTACACTCACCCTAATGTAATGCAAAATATGCCCCAGTTCAATGAAAAAAAAAAAAACCTAGTTACTCTAAGTATGGAATTTCTGAGATGGAATTTAACTTATCAACAGTGTGCTCTGGCATCTTGTAGGCACAACTTTTGTTCAAACATAACAAATCAAAACCTACAGGGACTGTTACCATAATCTCTAACTATTGAATGGAAGGGCTATAAATGTGGTTTCTGTTGTTTAAAATCTCCATGTTAGATCTGGCCATTAGACTATAATGCCCTAGATTATATAGGTGTTCAGGAGATTTTGAATCACCTCCTAATAGAGACTGCAGATCCCTCTGCCTGTTGTTTTCAATTAATTAGTCACTGGATTTATTTAGATTCTAGGCACTTTGAAAATGTTTGTTAATGTCCATACTAGTTTCTTGACCACTGTTACCTAGTTCTGGTGATGAAAATGTTCTGGAATTGGGTAATGTGGATGATTGCCCCTTCTGAGTATACTGAAAAACTGAATATACTGACTCATACAGTCTAAAGGATGCATTTTTGATATGTGAATTATAAATCAGAAAAGAGTTCTGTATAATTAAAAATCTTATTCATGCCAACCCTGACATGCTGCTGATCGCCTCTCGAGGAAATGTGCTGATGGTACAGGGTATGTCTCAGGATTTCTCAAAAGCTGTGAGCATGTGGGAATTTTCAGACAGTCCTGAATGATGACTCTCATCACGTGAAGCATTAATGCTGGCTTCTCACTTTCTTCTCTACTCTTAGGGTCATAAATAGCTAATAGGTATCCTATATCATCCTAATAGGAGAGTGGTACCATGATTTACTAGTTTTGATTTCATGGTAGAATAATAAGTACTCAACTTAAAGAGCTGTCCAAAATGATATATGTTTACACCATAATGTCCCCGTGAATGTGGTAACACTATTTCGCCATTAAGCTGAAAACAGAATAAAAGAGGTTTTAGTTATTTACTTAAGGTCATATAACAACTTGGTAGTGGAAGATTCATGGATCTTAGTACCATCTTTTTCATGTACACTGGTGAACTTGTTACCAGCCCATTTTATTAAGAAGAAATCTTGTCAATTATCAAAATATTTCAATGTGGTTATTGAGAGACTGGAATTTACAAACTGGTGGCCCATAGGCCAGACATATGTTTGTTTTCATTTGTGTCTTAAAAAACTATAAACATTGGTAAGTATAATGTTAGATTCTTAATTCAAGCTACTTATACCCATTTACACCATCTATTATCTGCCATTGCAATACATTTGTTGACTCCTGAGTTGCACCAGCTTAAAGACTCTAGTTTGCTTTGGTCATCTTAAAGCTGAATTATCTCTGAGGCCTGTTTGTGACACCAACTCAATGACAATAACAGCCCATGCCAGCATTTGCCTACGCGGTCTTCTTAGTTAAGACAACCAGTATGATTGATTATCAGGGCTAATTTAAGTTCTCGGAAGGCTAGCTCTGTTTTATTGTAAGTTGGGTAAGATTTTGAGAAATTCATCACGGTTTACCAAATATTCTGATCATCCCTGCAATTCCCCCTCCTGTGGGAAAGTTTATGTCATTGATCTCTCGAACTCATAAGTGGCCATGGCAACTTGCTTTGTCACTTTTCAGCAGAAATTTCATTATTCTGAACATGGCCTGCCATTTCTTTCTTCTTTCTCTTACTACCACCATTTCCAAGATACTGAGAATGTTTCCTGACAATTTTGAATGAGTCCCTTCTCTCCTACATCAAGCCCCTGGCCTGTTTGATTTCCGTTGTGTAAGAGAGTACTTCTGAGTTATTTAGCTGTAAGCTCATTCTTCCTGCCCTTGATGCCTGAATCCCAGCTTCACCTTTGAATTTTTTAAATAGAAGGAGAGAG